GTGTGGTAATAGTCAAGAAATTTGCATATTCATTCAAGAGTCATTTAGTGAGTACCTCAGTGGGGAGTGCTGTGCGCTGGGGATAAGATGAAGAGGCATGAGACTCCTGCCCTCAGGATCTCTTATTCTAGGGAAAGGAGTAGATGGGGCAGGAAACAGGCTGTTGTCCCAGAGGGAGGGATTAAGTGGAGGCATTTTCATGGAAAAGATGATCCGGGATCCGTGGCAGAGTTGGAGAGGCTAAAGGAAGAGGAGAGGTGATTTCTGGCAAAGAGTTCCATGGGTGCAGGTGTGGTGTTGGAAATGCTTCACCTGGCAGCAGCAAGGGGAGTAGAACAGATTGGCTGGGGAAGCAGAAGGGGAGGCTGAAGAGTGCTGTTGAAGGCCAGGATAGTAGGTATCAGAACTTGGGCTCAGGCCCTCGCGTCAGTGAATTTGTGGGAGGGTCTCTGTTGCCACTGCCTGAGCTGCTGGAGGGCAGAGTCTTTCTTGCTCGTCTTGTATCCCTGGGGCCTGGCAGAGTGTCTGCCTGCAGTGGGCACTCAGTACATGTTTACTGACAGACTGAAGATGAGGACATTAGAATTCTGTCTTTTATGTTAAGTTAGAGGGTTCTAGTCCCTAAAGAATCTGAGTATGGATGAAATCCAGAGAAGCAAAGGATAAGTCAGATGCAACCAAAGCAGTGAGTGACGGGCCTGAGAAACGTTCTGTTGCCAGAGAGAAGGAAAAAACAAATGTGCAATTAACTTGATAGGACAGGCTCTGAGCATCACAGCGCCTACCGACTAGCTGATGTGGTTAAAACTTTACATCTGTTCCTCATATTTGACAGGAACAGATTTGAGAGCCATGGAGTCATTGTCTCTGCTTAATGTAGTTCAATTTCTGGGTGAAAAAGGGTTGACATCCTTCAAGTATGTGGCTAGAGCCATTGGGATACATTGGGATACATATATTATTCAGATACCCAAGGAAACTTCCTTTTTGGATTGTTAGATATCAGATTTGTTCCCCAAATTTATTACATGATATCCAAAACAATATTTAGAAATTTTCACTTCTTTCCAAGGGGAGTATCCCACAAATGTATAGTGGAATGCATTTGGTTTTATAGGGAGTAAAGTTTCAAAATGAGTAAATAAAATACATAAGCATGGTGTACTTGAGAAATGAAAAATTGAGCAGAGCACCAATAAGAAGGAAAAGTGGTCTCTGAGGGGCTGATGTGGATAGTAAAGCAGTGAAGCAGAGTTTAACCTTTCTGTGTTTTAATTGGTTGCTTTTTTCTGAAGTATGGTCTATTCAAAGTACAGTCAATCCTCATTTTTCAAAGATTCTGCATTTATGAAATCGCCTACTTGCTCAAATTTATTTGTAATCCCCAAATCAGTGCTCTTGGTGCTTTTATAGTCATTTGCAGGCATATGTAGAGCAGGGAAAATTTTGAGTCACCTGACACCCGTGTTTCCAACCGAGGTCCAAGGCCCCACTCTGTCTACTTGTTCTAGCTCTCACACTCTAAACAAGGGCCCTTTTCTTGGTCTTTTTAGTGCCATGTTTTTCACATTTTAGTGCTTTGTGTTGGTGATGTCACTGTTTAAAATGGCCCCCAAACATAGTGCTGAAGTGCTGTCTAGTGTTCCTAAGCGCAGGACATCTGTGATGTGCATTATGGAGAAAGTATGTGTGTTAGATAAGCTTTGTTCAGGCATAAGTTATAGTGCTGTTAGCCATGAGTTCAATGTTAATGAATAAGCTATATATATTAAATAAGGTGTCTTTAAACAGAAACACACAAAAAGTAAAGTTTCATATTGACAGGAACTATGCTGTATTCCCCGAGGAGCAGTGGTTCAGTATCTGCCACTTCGTTGTTTTTGGCAACTTTATAGAACATTAACTACTTTGAATAATGAGAATTGACTGTATTTGTTTCCTATTCTTCTTCCTGGCCTCAACCTGGGCTTATATGGTTATTTTCTGTGTGTGTGTGTGTGTGGGGGAGGGTCGGGATAACTTTTTATTTTGACAAAATTTCAAACTTACAGGAAACTTGCAAGAATAACATAATGAGGTTCTTTCTAGTGGAACTATAAGTGGGTTAATAGTGTCCCCTGCAAAATTCATGTCCAGCCGGAACTTCAGAATATGACCTTATTTGGAGATGGGTGTTGGAAGATGTAATTAGTTACTATGAAGTCATACTGCATTAGGGTGGGCCCTAAATCCAGTGACTGGTGTCCTTATAAGAAGAGGAGAGGACGCACAGAGATACACACAGGAGAGGGTACCATGTGATGATGGAGGTGGAGATTGGCGTGATGCAGCTACAAGCCAAGGAATGCCAAGGATTGCTTAGAGCCACCAGAAACTAGAAAGAGGCAAGGGAAGATTCTTCCCTAGAGCCCCCAGAGGGACTAACACGTTCATTTTTGGACTTGAAGCCTCTAGAATTGTGAGAATAAATTTGTTGTCTCAAGCCACTGAGTTTGTGGTAACTGGTTATGTCAAACCCTAGGAAACTAGTACAGTAACCCTTTATTCTGATTCACCAATTTGTTATTATTGGTCTCTCTGTCTGTTTCTCTTTCTCTACATGTGTATATCTAATTTTTTTCTGTACTATTTCAGAGTAATTGAGAGACATAGTGAACCTGTACCCCAAAATGTTTATTTCCTAGGTTAAGGACAGCTTTTACATAAGCATAGTATAATTACAAAACTAGGAAATTAAAAACTGATGAAATACTGTTATCTGATCAGTCGTATATGCTCAAATTTTATCAGTTGCCTAATAATGATCTGTTTTCCCTGGTCCAAGATCCAGTCCAGGATCATATGTTCATTTTCTTTTCATGCCTCTTTAGCCCTGCATTAATCTGGGATAGTTCCTCAGACTTTCTTTGTGTTTCTTGACCTTGCCATTGTTGAGGTGTATAGGCCAGTTATTGTGGGCTTGTCTGATATTTTCTCTGTTTAGATTTAGGGTATGCATTTTTGGTAGTAATACTGTGGAGGTTGTCCTGTATTCTGGTTGTTGCCTCATATTAAGAAGTATTTGATGCTGGTTTACATCAACATTCATGACTTGATTAAGATGGTGTCTGACAGGTTTCTCCACTGTAAAGTTACTGTTTTTCCCTTTGGAATTAATAAGTAATTTGAGGGGAGTCATTTTGTGATCATGTATATATCATCTTCATCCTCAAACTTTTACCCACTAGTTTTAGCATTCATTGATAATTTTGTAAGTCCGTCATTTATTTATTTGTTTATATCAATGTAGACTTACAGTCTTGTTTTATTCAGTAGGTTATAATCCTTTACTGTCATTATTTATTTGATCCTGGAATGTCCCACATTTGGCCAGTGAGAGCCCCTTCATTCAGGCTCATGTGTCCTTTTTACATGTTCTCATTATTCCTTGGGCACTTTCTCACTCTCTGGCTCAAGATATTTCAGGCTCATTTTGTCCTTCCCTGTCCCATCCCTGGTATCACCCACTTGGTTAAAGAGCTGACCTGGGCTGATTTAATGTATTAAAGAGGTATTCTGGAGTTAAAAATATATATGTGTGTGTGTGTGTGTGTGTGTGTGTGTGTGGACTCTGAGTAGGCCAAATGATATTTTCCAGTTTCTTTACTGTCCTAGATAACTAAGTGAGCTTTCTCAGAGCTGTCAGGTAACTGAATCCTGACAGGTGTCTGTGGAGGGTAGCACCTTCTTGAGGATAGATGCCTCTTCCTCCTGCAGTCCTGCCCCACCATAGGAATTTCTGCATGAGAAGGAACATGCTTAGACCTGTTAAGTATTAAAATACCATCTATGTTATGGCTGAATTTATTTTTATGAATTTGTTCCCTTCTTCCTAGTTAAGAAAGTTTTAATGGTATATTTTAATCTTAATTTATTTTTTTAAACTACAATGGCACTGGATGAGGGATTTTATTTCTGATTAGGTGGTCAGCTCATAGTAGTTGACCTTAATTTGATTCCCAATGCAAATATAAAATTTTCCTTAAATTGCAAATTTAATACCTTACAAAGTGAGTATCTGTCTGTCATAGACATTTAAAAAAACAAAACAAAACAGCTTGAGGAAAGAAGTCAGTGTTGTCACTGTTCCTGGATATAAACTCCTTGGCTCCTTTGGGTCTTCTAGGGTGGATCCCTTGCCCTTTCTATTTCTGGTGCATTCTCAGGCTGCCTGCTCCCCTTCCTGGTGAACACCAGATGTCTGTGCTCAGTCCTCCTTTGCTCCCTTGCTTCTCTCAGCTTCTTTCCTCTAAGATATGATACCATGCAGAACTTTCGAGTGCTCATTGTTTGTCCTCACACGCTTGTATTTTGGAGTTTGTTGTCTAGTTGTGTTGTCCACGTGCTTGTGGTTTTGCTATTTCGTGACTCTCTCTTTCTGTGGCGGTTCAGAGACGTTTAAAAACTCTGCCAGTCCTCTCTCGCCTTCTCACTTCCAGGATGACCAAGAAAAGAAGGAACAATGGTCATGCCTAAAAGGGCCACAGACATGTGCAGCCTGTTCGCTGCACAACTGTTCGCGACGTGTGCCCAAGGACAAGGCTGTTAAGAAATTCGTCATTTGGAACATAGTAGAGGCCGAAGCTTTCAGGGACATTTCTGAAGCCAGTGTTTTCGATGTGTGTGCTTCCCAGACTGTATGTGAAAGTACATAACTGCACGAGTTATGCCATTCACTGCAAGGTAGTCAGAAATCATTCTCAGAAAGCCTGGAAGGACTAAACATCGTCACCTTGTTTTAGATCTGGGGGTGCTGCCCCACAGCCTCCACCAAAGCCCATGTAAGGAGCTAAGTCCTTAAAGACTGAAGAAATACTGTTCTTTGAAAAGACAATAAAATGGAAATTATACTTAAAATAACTATGCTGCCACCGATGCCATTTCTGGGCTTCCACCGTGTTACTGTATATTTAGTGAAGTTGATTTCACTGGTTTTTTTTCTTTGAAAACCATTTCTACAGAGAAAAAGAAATTGGGATGTAGAATACCCACCCTTTCCAGGAGAGAGTCCACTGCAGTGCAGACGAGCAGGTCTCAGGACCGTGGGGGCAGAAGCTTCCCTCTCTGAAGCATGGCTCAGGTGTGGAGAAGGATTTCAGGAGACTCCTGAGACTCTGGTAAAGTCATAATATTTTTTTCCCTGAAATGCTGAAGGGCAAATCTGAGATTCCTGAGAGTTCAGGCCACTGTAATTATATTTCTTCGGAATTCCCTTCCTTATTTTCTTTCAGAACACTGTAATTGGTGTGTCACTTTTTTCTCCTCATCCTTGAATTCCTTAAAAATTGTGGCATAGCAGTATTCACCTCTTTCTGTCATGCAGAACCTTTGTACTTCTTTGTAAGTGAAGGATACATACTGAAAATGTTCTCAGAAGATGAAACTGTTGAGCATCCTGCTCTTTAAAAGAAGTATTTATGAAATGCTTACATATTTAGAATCTAATGGCAGCGAGATACTCTGGTTAATTTTGGTGTATGTGGTAACTTTGAAGTACTCAGCATAAGAAGGAGTACTCACCACTAAAGGTTAGACAGCTCAAGGTTAGATAGCTCTCTGTTTAGATTCTGGAAAAATACAAAAATGCACTGTAAGTATTTGCTTTGGGACTACTTGTTGGTAAATAAAGGAAAACAGAGGAATATGTTAAAGGGGTGTAGTGTAAGTTCTTGAATATTTTATGTAATATTGTTGGTTTTTAGCCCTTGTCACATAAACTGCTACATCATCACTAATTATCATTATTGTTATCATTATCTGTCTGCAGTCATTAACAGCTGAAAAGAAGACTACTACAGAAAAACACCTTGAATTATCCTCTGGACCCAAGACAGGTAATATTTTGTTGATTTCTTGGCAGAAAAGGTATAAGGCTAATGTATCCTCCTTTGATTTATTTGCTTTCTTTTAAAAAGATGTTTACATAGTTTGGGTAGACTATATATTCATGGTTAAGAAAACACCCAAACAATGTAAAAAGGTATTTTTTTGAAAAAATCTCTCATCTTTGTCACCATCCACCCCATTTTTTCTGTGTCATGTAGGTAATTATTAAAATTTTTTGTCTCTTTCCTGGGTTCACTGTTATCAACAGAGCCCAGTAGGCAAGCTCAGGTTCATAGCTCCAGAGTTTTAAAAAGAATCTGATTTGGGAAATAAAGTTATGATCTATGATATAAGGACTATACTACTTAGTCAATGAAATTCTTACTTGGCAAATTAGTTAGGGAAGGCTTTCAGTTACAGATAGTAGGAAGTTGTATTGGAGTGTTTGAAGAGATGGGTTGAATTTATCCCCTGCAACAAGAAGGACAGGGGGCCAGACTCATTTTGAGTTCTGCTGCCTTAGTGTAGGGTTTGTTTTTGCAGTCGTGAGGTAGAGGCTGAATTCTCCAGGCTCAATTCTCAGGAAAAGTATAGGCTTGGAGGATTTTCTCCAAATGAACTTTTCCTCTGAGAAGGAGTACTCTCCCTAGGACCTCTGCCTTGGCCAGAGCCTCTTACATAGGGTCACCTCCACTAAAGGGACATCAGTGAAATTAAGGATTTTTAAACATGTATGTTGCTGCTCAAAGAAAATTGGGATTTTGTTAGTAAGGAAGAAGAGGGAGTGGATATCAGGGAGGCCACTGGTTCTGCTGCTACACTCAGTTACCCTCTGGGCAGGAAGGATGAGGGCTTGAGACTTCAGGGATCTCATCTGACCCTGAAGTGGCCTGACTGTATCTTGAGTGTGGGGTCTTGAGATAGCAAGCTAAACATGCTGAGCCTCAGTTTCTGCATCTGGAAAATAGGCCTAAGAATTGTGTATCTCATTGCGTTATTGTGAGTTTAAAAAAAGTAATGATCAAAACGCCTAGTTCAAAGGTTTACACTTAGTAGGTGCTTAATGGCACCAGTTGCTGCTATGTTTGATGGCAGAGTGGGAGAGCCTGCTCGGAGTCCTGCGGAGTGGGGAGGCTTTCTGTGAATAAGAGACTAAACGCTTTAAGCTGTATTATTACTTCACTAACACTTAAGGGGGTTCTTTTTATGCAATTGAAGAATAAAATTCCCCTAATTTTTTTGATTCATAAAATGCTGTATTATAAAATACCATAGTCTTCTGATGGCGCTACAGAATTTAATTTTTAATATTATTAGTGCTGAATGTTGTGATATTCAAAGATCAATTTAATTCTGATTTCTAAACTGTCATAATGTATGGAGAGAATAGTATAGTTGATCCTTGAATGACTGACATGGGGGCCTGGGACGCTGACCCTCCACACAGTCAGAAATACGCCTGTAACTAACTTTACAGTCAGCTTTCCTTGTCCGCAGTTCTGCATCAGCGGATCCAACCTACTGTGGGTCGTGCCGTACCGTAGTGCATATTTATCGAAAAAAATCTGTGTGTAAGTGGATCTGCGCAGTTCAAACCTGTGTTATTCAAAGGTCAACTAACTATTTTCTTTTACAGATGTGGCTTCTATCTTTTTTTGGAGACTTAAAATTGGTGTAGTCAAATTTAGCTTGGGGAGAGAGAAATATTAAATGAGCTGCTACCTTGTATTTAATTTCAAAAGGATCTTTTGAGATGATTTCCCATGCCAATGTATTCAACCTAAAACCTACTCTGCTGTGCTTTCTATTCTGTGGAATGATCAGTAGATTCTCATGGGCTGAAAGAGCTTGTATCCATGTATAATTAATTTATTTACAGCATAAGCAGGTTGTTAAGAACAGAAAGTATTGTTTATAACTTAACAGAAGCTTACAAATAGAAATTGATAGAAAAGGGGACTCGAGGCATTTCCTAGAACTGGTTCATTTTAAAAACAGTAACTTCTAACATATTAGTTTAAGACAGGCTATTAACAAAACTTCTAGGATGTGGAAGTAATGTTTATATGAGAGCTGGGAAGCAGAAGTGGGGGAACATACTTTTGCAAAGTGTGCAAAAAAGGGGGAGACTCCATTTCCTTGTTTCCACATCTCTATTTCCTTACCTGTAAGGCACTGAGAACCAGAGAAGGAAGGGGGAGGAAATGGAGGAGAAGGGAAGGGATGAGAGAAGTGAGCAAATGAATGTTGGCAAAGGATCTCGCCAGAAGGTTTGAGGGACGTGGAAGAAGGTAAAAACTTGAAATGAAAAGAGGCTGGAACCTTTGTAGTTAGTGATTTTCTTTAAAAGGCAAAACTTTAAAAAAGTGTATTTACCAAGCAAAATGAAACTATGTAATAAAAAGAAGATAGTGTTTATTTTTTTTCTTGAAATACCCTGCAAAATATGTTCTCAAAATATTTGTTCGTTATGGAGTCAGAAATCTCCTTGAGAAGCATTAGTAAATTTTTATGTATGTATTTATTATTATTATTTAAAAAATGTCTAGTCAGGTCTTCCCATTTCTTAAAAACATTCTTTATTTTTTTATTATTATATCTTTTTTGGCTGCATCAGGTCTTAGTTGTGGCACGTGGGCTTCTCTGCAGTGTGGCGTGTGGGCTCTGTAGTTTGCGGCACGCAGGCTTTCTCATTGAGGTCCGCGAGCTCAGTGGTTGTGGCACGTGGGTTTAGTTGCCCCACGGCATGTGGGAATCTTAGTTCCCCAGTCAGGGATCAAACCTGCATCCCCTGCATTGGAAGGCAGATTTTTTACCACTGAACCACCAGGGAAGTCCCGCATTAGTAAATTTTTAAATTATTATTTCTTGATGTGCTTTTCTCCCTTTTGGACCATAGATTTTTTTCAGGGCAGACCCTCCTCTATTGCTCATCTTTATATCCTAGGTGGCTAGGGCTAGGATATGGCTAGGGTTGCCATAATAAAATGCTACAAACTGGGTGGTTTTTTTCGTTTGCTTGTTTTTTGGGTTTTTTTTTTGCAGTACGCGGGCCTCTCACTGTTTTGGCGTCTCCCGTTGCGGAGCACAGGCTCTGGATGCACAGGCTCAGCGGCCATGGCTCACGGGCCCAGCTGCTCCGCGGCATGTGGGATCTTCCCGGACTGGGGAACAAACCCGTGCCCCCTGCATCGGCAGGCGGACTCTGAACCACTGCGCCACCAGGGAAGCCCCAAACTGGGTGTTTTTAACAACAAAAACTTCTTATCTTGCAGTTGTGGAGGCTAGAAGTCTAAAGTGAAGGTATTGGCAGGGTTGCTTCCTTCTAGGATGTGCTCCAGGCTTCTTTCCTTGACTTGTAGGTGGCTGTCTTCTCCAAGTGTCTCTTTACTGTGTTTTCGCTCTCTGCATGTATGGTTCTGTGTTCAAATTTCTCCTTTTTGCAAGGACAGGTGTCATATTAGATTAGGGCCCACACTAATAATATCACTTTAGACCCTGTCTTCAAATAAGTTCACATTCTTAGATGCTGGGGGTTAGAATTTTAACATATGAATGAGTTTTGGGGGGACACAATTCAGCCTATAACACCAAGTCCTAGCATAGTGCCTAGCACACATTGGTCACCCAGAAATGTTTATAAATACATGGTAACTATTCTCATAGTCTGGCTGATGTTGTTCCTGGAATTTCGTTGGAATGAGCCTTGATTTCAAGGGCAACCCCTTTTTAGCAAATAAAATGAATTACTGAGTAATAAATTCCTGGTAGAGGTTAACTATATAAATTATACAGTTAGGTGCCTATAATTTATAGGTTTATGAATTCATTATATAATCTGAAAATAGTGATAACTTCCTGTCTTAGTCCATTCAGGCTGCTATTGTATATAAGAAAAATACGGTAGACTGGGTGGCTTATAAACAAAAGAAATTTATTTCTCACAGTTCTGGAGGCGGAAAGTCAGGACATTGATTTAGTGTCTGGCGAGGACTCGCTTCCTGGTTCATAGCACCTCCCTGCTGCATCCTCATAGGGTAGAAGAGGCTGGGGATCTCTCTGGGGCTTCTTTTGTAGGGCACTAATTCCATTCATGAGGGCTCCACCCTCATGATCTAATTACCCCCTAAAGGCCACACCTCTTAATACCATAACACTGGGATTTGGCTTCAATATGTGAGTTTTAGGGGAACACAAACATTCAGTCTGTAGCATTCTACTTTTTCTTTTTTGATTTACTTGTCCAGATGCATAATAATGAAAAAGATTGATAATGTCTTTGGCAAGTAAGTACACAGCTTAGTTTTATTAGCTCTTTAAATCAATATGAGTTCTTAGGTTATTGTGAATAGTTTATATTTAATTTTTTATTTTGAAGGCTAGACAACTTTAGTAATTCTAGATGTTCATGGAACAAAGTAAGTGTTCAGTAAGTGTTTACTATTATTTCATGTTTTTGTGCCTTTTTAAATGTTGATTTTCCAGACATCGTTTTGTCAGTGAATCTTCCTTTCGTGATCAACATAAAGTGGAGCATCCACCTTTTTGGTGCCATCATCATTATACTGTGACATATCTCTAATACAGTATTTAATTTTTCTTTTCATGATCAACTAGTGTTGCCTTTCAGATCATGCATTCCTTGAGGGCAGGAGTTTTCTTTCTTTTTTTTTTTTTGTTTCCTCAAGGTTTACTATATCAGAGGTGTTATATAAATAGGTATTTAATGAAGTCATTTAACTTTTGAGCCTGTTTCCTCTTCTGTAAAACTTGAGTTATAATATCTAATCTCTTAACTTTATACTATATTGAAATGTGACTGAGAGAGTTCTTTTTTTTTTTTTGGTTTTAGCATTATAACTCACCTGTCTACTCAATAGGAATAGAAAATTTGATTTTTATTAGATACCTATTCCTTTTCTGATCAAAATCAGTAAAATTTTCTGTTGGACTTCTGGTTCCATCGAGATAGAGTCGCCCTGTTCCTTCTAGGTTTCCTGTCTATCAGAATGGCTAAAATAAAATATAGTGACCACACCAAGTGCTGATGTGGAAAAACTGGATCAGTCACACATTGCTGGTGGGACTATAAAATGGCACAGCCGCCCTGGAAAACAGTTTGGCAGTTTATTAACGAGACTAAACACACAATTACCATACAGCCCAACAATTGCACCCTTAGACATTTATCCTGGAGAACGAAAGTTACAGTCACATAAAATGTTGTACACAGTGTTCATAGTGGCTTCATTTGTCATAGCCCCAAACTGGAAACAACCCAGATGTCCTTCAAGGGTAACTGATTAAACAAGCTGTGGTTCACCCACACCACAGAACACTGCTCAGTAATAAAAAGAAAGTGACTGGTGATACACACAACAGCCTGGTGAATGTCCAGGGAATAATGCTGAGCACAAAAAGCCAGTCCTAAAAGGTAACACAGGTGATTCCATTTATATATTATTCTTGAAATGACAAAATTATAGAAGTGCAAAACTGCTTTGTGGTTGCTAGGGATTAGGAATTGAGGTGGGGAGGGGAGTTATCCTCACAAGGATGGCAGTGTAAGATATCCTCACAGGGATGGAGTTCTCTATCTTGACTATCAGTATGGACATTTTGTGTTGTACTGTGGTTTTCATAATGTTACCATTGGAGGGATTGGGTGAAGCATACAAGGGCCCCCTCTGTTATTTCTGACAGCTGTATGTGAACCAACTATTACCTCAAAATAAGTTTAATTAATTAAAAAAGTTTGCTGTTAAGTATTTTAAGCAAACTGCTGTTACCAGGGCTCCTAGTATGGCAAAGGAAGCACACAGAAGCATTCCTATTACAGATAATTATTGGTGTGGTTTGTTTTGTGGGTTTTTTTTTTTTTGTTTTTTTTTTTGCGGTACGTGGGCCTTTCACTGTGTGGCCTCTCCCGTTGCGGAGCACAGGCTCCGGACGTGCAGGCTCAGCGGCTATGGCTCACGGGCCCAGCCGCTCCGCGGCATGTGGGATCTTCCCGGACCAGGGCACGAACCCACGTCCCCTGCATCGGCAGGTGGACTCTCAACCACTGCGCCACTAGGGAAGCCCTGTTTTGTGTTTTTGTTTTTCCTTATGGCTTGATGAAATATTCTACGAAGTTTTATAGTTTTGTAATTATTCGAAGGTTATTTTTGAGTTTTCATTTGTGCTCCAGTCATTTTCCTTGTCTTTTATGACTTTTCTCAATCATTTTGACTTCTTTTTCTTCTTGTAATTTGGCTTTAATTCAAAGAATCTTAGCCAGGTTGTACATAGACCTTCAGTTCGGAAGATTTGAAATAAGACATTGCTTTCACTATCAGCAGAATATTGTATATTTGTGACTTCAGCAAAGTAACATGTATAAAACTTCATTTTGATCAATAACTGTATCAATTGGCCATTTTTATATTTTCCCTTTTTCTTTTGCAGAACCTACCACATCTAAGAGTACCAGTGGGCTTACAGCTATAACATGGAGTTCCAGTGGAAGTGATCTGTCAGATGAAGATAAAACAATTTTTAAATCACAGAGAGAGAATGGACATGGTTCTAGAATAGGCAGGTTTTATAGCAGGAATATTTTCTCTCCAGAAGATGGGGCCAGTGAAGGTAAATTGGTAATTTTGTAAGAAATTTAGTTTCTGTTATAGATTAGATTTTAATAATGGAAGAAACTTACACTCATTTTCTAATATTGATACTTAGCATTTTTAAAAATATTACTGAGTCCCAGCCCCCCAGCCTTTTAGAAACATTTTCTCATAATATTTATCACAATAACTCTAAGAGATGAGTATTACCAGTATTATTTTTACAGTTAACAACTTAAGCTTGAACATGTTAGAACTGGTTGGATTCCACTTTGGGTCTCTTTGACCAAGCCAGTTCTCTAAAGTACAGGTACACGTTAGAGATATTGCAGGTTTGGTTCCCGACCACCGCAATAAAGTGAAAGTTGCAGCAAACCGAGTCACGTGAATGTTTGGGTTCGCAGTGCACATACAAGTTATATTTACGTACTACTGTAGTCTATTAAGTGCGCAGCAGCATTATATCTAAAAAGAAATGCACGTACCCTAATTAAAAGGTACTTTATTGCAGAAAAAATGCTAACCATCATCGGAGCCTTCATTCAGCAAGCCGTGTATTTTTGCTGGTGGAGGATCTCGCTTCAGTGTTGATGGCTACTCACTGAAGGCTGGAGTTGGTGTGGCAGTTTCTTGAAATGAGGCAACAATGAAGTTTGCTGCATCGATCGACTCTTTCTTTCAGAAACGATTTCTCTGGAGCTTGCAGTGCTGCTCGATAGCATTTTAGTCACAGGAGAACTTCTTTCAAAATTGAAGTCAGTCCTCTCAAACCTTGCTGCTGCTTTATCAACTAAGTTTTTGTAATGTTCTAAATCCTTCGTTGCCATTTCAACAGTCTTCACAGCCTCTTCACCAGGAGTAGATTCCATCTCCAGAAATCACTTTCTTTGCACATCCATTAGCAGCAGCTCCTCACCTGTTAAGAGTTTTATCCTGAGCTTGCAGCAATTCAGTCCCATCTTCAGGCTCCACTTCTAGTTCTACTTCTCTTGCTGTTTTCACCACATCTGCAGTCCTTCCTCCACTGAAGTCTTGAACCCCTCAAAGTCATCCATGAGGGTCAGAATCCACTTCTTCCAAACTCCTGTTACTGTGGACATTTTGACCTCTTCCCACTGAATGAATCACAGGTGTTTTTGTTTTTTTTTTTTGCGGTACACAGGCCTCTCACTGTTGTGGCCTCTCCTGTTGCGGAGCACAGGCTCCGGATGCGCAGGCTCAGCGGCCATGGCTCACGGGCCCAGCCGCTCCGCGGTATGTGGGATCTTCCCCGACCGGGGCACGAACCCGTGTCCCCTGCATCAGCAGGCAGACTCAACCACTGCGCCACCAGGGAAGCCCCACAGATGTTCTTAATGGCATCTAGAACGGAGAATCCTTTTCAGAAGGTTTGCAGGTGACTTTGCCCAGATCCATCAGAGGAATCACTGTCAGTAGCAGCTGTAGCCTTGCAAAATGAACTTCTTAAATAATAAGACTAGAAAGTTAAAATTATTCCTTGATCCATGGGCTGCAGAGTGGATGTTGTGTTAGCAGGCGTGAAAACAACATTCATTCCATTGTACAACATCTTCATCAGAGAGCTCTTGGGTGACCAGGTGCATTGTCGATGAATATTAATATTTTGAGAGGAGTCATTTTTCCTGAGGAGTAGGTCTCAACAGTGGACTTAAAATATTCAGTAAACTATGTTGTAAACAGATGTGCTGTCATCCAGACTTTGTTCTGTTTATAGAGCACAGGCAGAGTAGATTTAGCGTAATTCTTAAGCGCCTTAGGATTTTCAGAATGGTCGATGCGCATTGGCTTAACTTCAAGTCACCAGCTGTTTTAGCCCGTAACAAGACAGTCAGCCTGTCCTTTGTAGCTTTGAAGCCAGGCACTGATTTCTCCTCTTTAGCTGTGAAAGTCCTGGATGGCATCTTCTTCTAGTAGAAGGCTGTGTTTCATCTGCATTAAAAATCTGTTATTTAGTGTAACCACCATCATGAATTATCTTTGCTAGATCATCTGGATGACCTGGTGCAGCTTCTACATCAGCACTCACTGCTTGACCTTGCACTTTTATGTCATGGAGATGACTTCTCTCCTTAAGCCTCATGAACCAACCTCTGCTAGCTTTAAACTCCTCTTCTGCACCTTCCTCACCTGTATCAGCCTTCATAGAATTGAGGAGAGTTAGGACCTTACTCTGGATTAGGCTTTGGCTTAAGGGAATGTTGTTTCTGGTTTGATCTTCTATCCAGACCATTAAAACTTTCTCCATATCAACAATAATGCTGGAGAAACTCTAGAAGAATACAAAAACAACTAATAGAAGTAGTTACCTGAGAATTGGGGTAGGGGTAAGAGTTGGGAGAAATGGGATGTTTATAGATAAGAGTAGGAGTATACTTTCTGCTGTCTTTTAATATATTTTGAAACTGTTGAACAACATGGATCTTTTAAAAGTATTGAGGAAGAGTAGATTTCAAACACATTAAAGATATTTAAAATTAAAATTGTATTTTTTAGATGATCTCCAGGTTATTGACTGGGAGATTGACAGTGACAGGGAAGATCCATGTGATGAATTTGATGACCGTGAGAGTGTGGTGGAAATATCTGACCATGCTTCTTGTACAAGCAGTCGTTCTTTGACACCTCCAGAGACGCTGCCTGAACTTCCTAAGGTAAGAACGAATTGTTTCCAACTTTCCATTCTGTTTATGGCATTTGTTAGTCACAGCCTTTGGTGTTTTGTTTGAAACTCCTTCCTCAGGGACTACCACTTTTGACTCTGTGGATTATTTTGTTCTTTACCTCCTTTTCTCTAAATAACATGCTTGTAGTGTGCTTTTTTGTAAAAAAAAAAATTTATTTTACTTTTGGCTGCCTTGGGTCTTAGTTGCGGCCTGTGAGATCTTTTGTTGTGGTGCACTGGCTTCTCTCTAGTTGTGGCACATGGGCTCCAGGGTGCATGGGCTCTGTAGTTGTGGTGCGCAGGCTCACTAGTTGCGGCTTGTGGACTTTAGTTGCCCCGTGGCATATGGGATCTTAGTTCCCTGACCAGGGATCAAACCCGTGTCCCCTGCATTGGAAGGCAGATTGCTAACCATTGGACCACCAGGGAAGTCCCTGTAATGTGCTTTTAAACGTGGATAAATACTGAGTACTTTTCTCCTCACCCACTCTCGCCTCTGCTACACATGGGACTTTCCCATCCCTTTGTTCCCCCAGGACAGATGTCTCATGGTCTGGTTACATTAGGTTCAGCATTATGCAATTCTGAATAATAATATTCATAACAAGACAACTATTAATTGTGATTTTCCTTCCCAACTTTTCGTTTTTGTTGGCGTTAATCATTTGGGTTTTTGTTTGCCTAGTTTTACTTATCATGAATAAAACTCTTAATTTTACTTATCGTGAATAAAACTCTGATTTTTCACCATTGTTCAGTTCTCCCATTAAGATTTTCACACATAGCAGGCATTCTACTAGTTCTTTAAAAAAAGTTTAAAAAATATTTTATTGAAGTATAGTTGATTTACAGTGTTGTGTTAATTTCTGCTGTATAGTAAAGTGATTCAGTTATATGTATTCTTTTTCATGTTCTTTTCCATTATGGTTTATCACAAGATACTGAATAGAGTTCCCTGTGCTCTACAGTAGGACCTTGTTGTTTATCCATCCTATGTGTAATAGTTTGCACCTGCTAATCCCAAACTCCCAATCCTTCCCTCCCCCACCCCTCCCCCTTGGCAACCACAGGTCTGTCCTCTATGTTTGTGAGTCTGTTTCTGTTTTGTAGATATGTTCATTTGTGTCATAGTTCGGATTCCACCCATAAGTGATATCATATGGTATTTGTCTTTGTCTGACTTACTTCACTTAGCATGATAATCTCTAGGTGCATCCATGTAGCTGCAAATGGCATTATTTCATTCTTTCTTATGGCTGAGTAGTGTTCCATTGTAATTATATACCACATCTTCTTTATCCTTTCAGCATTCTATTCGTTTTGTTTTTATGGAGAACTGTTTCCCACAACCTCCTAGCCGCTCTGATTTCCACTCAGAGTCCTCTGTGCTTTGTGAATGTAGCCACCCTTGAGTCACCCTTCACCGTCTTTTGGGGGAATTCCCTTCACCTCGCTCCTGCATGGAGCAACTTTATCCTGGACTCCTCTTTCTTGGTTGTTACTCTCATTTTGATTGAGCACATCTTCCAGTAGCTTCCAAGAAAGGATTTATGCAAGATAATTTTTTGAGACTTGTCATGTCAGAAGATGCATTCATCACACTTTAACGTGTGATTGAAAATTTATACAGAATTTTAGGTTGGAAATTATTTTTCTTTAGAATTTTGAAGGCATTGCTTCATTGTCTTCTAGTTCCAGAGTTGCTATCAAGAAGCCTGAAGCTCTTCTCACTCTTGATCTTTTAAGTTTTTCTTATTCCTTGTTTTAAACTGTTTGATTGTGATATGCCTATAGGTGTGGTTTTCTGCTTGGAGTTTGTCAAGCTTCTTGGATCTGTGGTTTGTCTGGGATCCCCAAGCTCGCTTCTGGGTTCAGTGATTTGCTGGGAAGACACTCAGAACTTAGCATACAGTCATACTCACAGCTATGATTTATTACAGTGAAAAGATACAAAAGTAAAATCAGCACTCTTCCAAGAGTCTTTTTCCAGTGGAGTCATACAGGGGATGCTTAACTGCTCCAGCAGAGAGTTTTGACAGTATATGTGCAGTGTTGTCTGCCGGGGGTGCTCATCGGTGACTCAGTGCCAACGGTTTTTATCAGGGGAGCTCTCTGCCTTACATGTGCCAGAATTTCAGTTTTCAGGATGGAAAACAGGTATTCAACATAAGCCATATTGTTTGCACAGGTTAGGCACAGGGAGATACTCCTATCATTAGGGAATGGTGGGAATCATCCTGAAATCTAAGTTCCCAGAGGTAGGCAAGGACCAACATTGTAAGCGGGGCTTTCTAGGGATACCTGTCTCGGGTCTGCTAAGTTAACTCTCCTCTTCACATGGATTCAAAGGTTTCATCACATTTGGAGAGTTTTTTGCCTTTATTCAACACTTTTTTTTCTGACTCCCTTTTCCTTTCCTTCTGTGACTCAAATTATACGTATGTTATTTAGGCTCCTTGATGTCACGTCATGTATTATCGACACTGTGCTCATTTTTCCCCCTCTCTGTTTCATTTTGAGTGGTTTCTATTGCTATACCTTCAAGTTTGATAATCTTTCATTCCTGTAGTGTCTAATCTGCTGTTAATACTATCCAGTGTATTTGTCAGCTCTAAAAGTTTGATATGTCGTTTTATCTTGTCCATGTCTCTCCTTAACACGATCATACATTTGTCTGTGTTTTGAACATAAAGAGTATAATAGTTGTTTTAACGGCTTTTTTGGTAAATCTGTCATCTGTGTAATTTCTGTGTCTGTTTCTATTGATTGGTATTTCTTTTCATTATGGGTTGTATTTTTCTGCTTCTTTACATGCCTGGAAATTTTTGAGTAGATACCAAATATTTTGAATTCTATGTTGTTGGGTGCTGGATTTTTAAAAAAAATTATTTTAATTTTGGCTTTGTTCTGTGGTGCGGTTACCTGGAAACAGTTTCATCCTTTTAGGTGTTGTTTTATGATTTATTAGGTGGGTCTGGGGAAGTAGACAGCCTTATATCCCACTACTGAAGCAAGACCTTCCTGAGGTCTGTGTAATTCTCTGAATTATGGGTTTTTTCCAGTCAGGTTAACGGTTACGGTTTCCTGACCCTGTGTGAATAGTGGGCACTGTTCTAATACTTCCAAATGGTTCTTTCGCTGGTCTAGTGTTGTTTCTTTATATGCACATGCTGATCAGTACTCTTCTGTACACTTGAGGGGGATGATTGGGGTTCTCTGTGCAACTCTGGCTTTTCTGGTACTCTGTGCTGTGAACTCTAGCTGCTTTTGTCTCCATGGACTCTCAGCTCTGTCTCTTCAACTCAGGGAGCTCACTAGGTTCCACCTCAGTTCTCCCTCCCTACTGCGTGGTTTGGAAATTCTCTCAAGAAAGTAAGCTGGGGCAATTATAGAGCTCAGTTCGTTGTTTCCCAGCTTTCAGGGGTTAGTGTTCTTCTTGCCTGATGTCCCATGTCTTGAAAGCCATTGTTTCAAGTATTTTGTCTCTTTTCTTTTCTTTTCTTTTTGATTGTTTCAGGCAGGAGGATAAATCCATTCCCTGTTATTCCATCATGGGCATCAACCTGATCTTTCCAGGCAGTCGAGCACATGAAAAGGTGCTCATCATCATTAGTCATTAGGGACATGCAAATCAAAACCATAATGAGATCTTACTATGTACCCATTAGTATGGCTCTTACCCATAAATGGGAAAAAAAGTGTTGAGGATGTGGAGAAATTGGAACCCTTGTGCACTACTGGTGGGAATGTAAAGTGATGCAGCCACTGTGGATAACAGTTCGGTGGTTTCTCAAAAGTTAAAAATAGAATTACCATATGACCTAGTAATTTTGCTTCTGGACATATACCCAAAAGAATTGAAAGCAGGGACTCAGACACTTGTACACTGATGTTCATAGCAGCATTATTCACAATGGCCAAATGGTGGAAACAACCCAGATATCCATCAACAGATGAACGAATAAACAAAATGTGTGTGTGTATGTATATTGTCTACTAAAGAAATATTCACAGCATAGAAGTTGAGAGTTATGTTTTATTCGGCACGAATTTTTAGGACTTCAAGCCCGGGAGGCAGCATCTCAGGTAACCCTGAGAGAACTGCTCCGAGGAGGCGAGGGGGGGAGCCTGGTTATATCGGAGTTTTGCAACCAAGGGCAGGTGGTTAGAACGTCAAAAGATTATTTTTAATTGAAGTAAACTAGGCATCTCATGTTAAGGAATTTAACACTTTTCTATGTATGGGAAGATGAAAGAGTCTGGGCACACTGAAATCGTTCCTTTGATATATACCTCAGCTGTCTGGGGCCAGTATCCTGTGTTTTCATATCCTGAGTTCCCTCAGGGCTCACCACCTCACCGTAGGCTGGTGGCTGCAATCACTGATGACTGTGACATCCTTTGTTTACTGATATGCAGTCAGTATTCCATTTCTCAACATGTATGTATGTATATTTTTGTATATATATCTACATATATGTATATGTATGTATATATGTATGTTACTGAACCAAACTTGGGTCCACTTGCCCACGTGTACTAAAGCCAATCTATTGACACTGGCTTGTGGTGAGGGAAAGTACAGTGTTTATTGCGTGGCGCCCCAACATGGGGCTGAGCAAGGAGAACAGGTGGCTCACGCTCAAAAGACCCAGACTCCCCAAAGGCTTTCGGGGAAGAGTTTTTAAAGACAGGGTGAGCGAGAGGGTTGCAGGGTGCCCGATCAGCTTGTGGACATTTTTCTGATTGGTTGGTGGTGAAGTAATCAGGAGTCACCATCATCAACCTTCTGGTTCCATCCAGTCTGGGGTCTGTGTGCTTGTGGTCAGCATGCAGCTCACTTTTTCCACCTGGTGGGGGTTTCAGTGTCAGCAGAACAGGTCAAGGACATGGCTCAGCATGTTATCTATAGCTGATGCGGAAGAACTAAAGGCCCTTCACTTTGTTTAATGACTAAACTATTATTATTTTATCTTGCCTGACTGTTTT